GTTTGCATGCAATCTCTGCGACTGCAATAGACCACTCTACGAAAAAAAGTAGAGTGTGACTTTGGTGGTTCAGAAATGCGCAGCAAAAGCGCTAGAAGCTTCCTCCGCCACAAACCAACCTCTAGCACCTTCGTCTGCCCGCCTGCCCAATTCACTCGTCCCAAGGCTCTCTGAATTCACAAACTTTTTCCCTCCTCGGCGCACAGTGTCTCTTTGTGCTGTGATGTCTCTCTGCTTCGTGGTATCCCTGACCGCCAGGAGAAGAGGTCCTCATTTTAAATGTTGACGAGAATTTATCTTTATGTTTCCCTCACTGATAGCCCCTCCGCACCTTTACTACATATTCGAGCATAACTACTACACCAGTTTGATTATAGAAGTTTCTTTCACCAAATCCCAACATGTTCGATGCATGGTTGTGCAGGATTCGGCTGAAGATCGAACGGGCAATCGCGGCGCCTCATTACCAGGACCACCATATCGACCTCCAACATAATCTCATACAGTTCGTACTTACTCTACTCGCAGCCTCTTTGCGTTTTGAAATGCCTCCATGTTGGAGTACACAAGAAAATCGACTTCAACCGGTCACTTTTTTCACCGATGCATCCCATTACACATTGCAATGACTTCAAAGCAAATCAATGAGCTGTAAACAAATGTAAATTCCAATCTCGGATTTATCAGATCTGTGAGTTTGTACAGTTGTTCCAATATGGAAAATATGCGATCCCCTTCCCCACCCCCGCCCGCGGAACCCCATGCCCACCACCAACATAACCTTAATTTAAATAAAACGGCCATACCTATAAGCCTGCATCAGTACAGCTGGTCCCAGATATTTGTCTGAATTCCACCAATACGACGGGCATGACGTAGAACAACACAGACACAATATGCATTCGTAGAGGCCATCCTATAAAACAACCAGGGAAAGGAAGCAATTGTCAGCTACGGCTGTGCCAACATTTTTCCACTTACTATTTTTTCACGTTCTTTTATGGTTTGGAACATTTGTTTTTGGCCCAACGTGAGATCTGTTTTCTTATGAATCCACGGCGCAATGGACTTATACTGCTCATAAGAACAGATTCATGTCAACAACCAGGTCCTGAAAAGATATCAGTGTTCCGCCTTGATAAATACAGAAACCGTTTTGTGCTCACCCTGATAACATACTGATGCGGAAGGGGGAAGATTTTGGTGACTCTGCTTCGTATCGGTATCGATCCTGCAGATACATGCCAACGTATTTTCACCTCCAATGTTCATCGCGCATGAACCGCAGATTCCTGAATCCGGATTTCAACATTGCCTCGTGACAATTACTTGTAAGAAAGACTAGATAGTAATAGTAACATCCTCCGAAGCAAATTCCGCTAACATAGCTGCAACACTGAACAGTCCCCCTCTTCGCCGTTGACGTCAAATAGTTTTATAACGGAAAATACTACTTTTCACACGCAAACTGCCACACTTAAGCTTCACCTGTAGAACAACCTATGGGAAAGGTCACACTGGCGGTCGAATTAGGCCCGAATCAGTCTGAATACAGTTGAATACGACCAGAGTACGAGCAGCTATCATTTCATTCGCTTTAGAATTACAAGTTGATGGCAGTTGAATGCTGGAATATTCAATTCTTAGATCGTTAATAAGCCTTGAGCAGTGAGCGAGAGATCATTACGAAGGAAATCGTGAGAATAGTGTATGAATAACAGATCAGTAAGTTCACGGCGGTCGCATCGACGGAATAAAACCTGCAGTGGTTTTCATAGAGCCAATTGCGACGTTAGGGAATCATAACATCGAATACTAAAACCAATTATGACCAAAAACATTTTTCAGGAAGCTGGAAAGTCTCTTTTGTTGATAGAAGGCGATAGCATTTCATCGGCTACACTGAGATTGTTGGACAAAGGCCACAGAGGACAAGAAAGCATGTATTGTATATCATTCCTACCTTCACGACAACTTCTTCTGAATGTGAGACTGCTATCATGCTCGTTTTTGACTTTGATAAGAGCGTCCAAAATCATGAGTCCACAATCATCGTAAGTCTATATTCGGTAATTTCTGAAACAGCTCACTTAGATTTGACAGCGTTCGCAAATTTCCTGGGAAAGTTTCAGCAAGGATTCGAAAAAACATAGAGTCCGAAGGGTGGAGATTCCGGTTTTTCCTATAACTGAGCGTCAGTGTTGAAAGGGGATCAAGTGTCCGTTCGCATTTGATGGAGGAGCGTGTTTTTGGAAGGGGGTACATGGAGGGATGAATGAGCCATGATGATTCAATCATGGAGCAAAGTATGAACAGGTGGGGGGGGGGGAAGTGGAATTGTGGAAGCTGGGTCGTGTGTTGCGGAAAAGTGCTTCACTTTTTATTTGCATGATTTGGCGAAATCTCACAAAGCGGTGATGTGGGACAAAATCAGGACTATTTGTTTGCTGCGCGCTTCATTATGAGGTGTTACACCCCCCCTCCTCCCCTCTGTTCCCCTAGGGAAGCGAGTATTGTAGAGCGGAATAGTGGACGGAGGGCGGACAGTCGGGATATTGTCTCACAAGGAATGCGTCATTGGTCGGCCCAGCGTCTGCAATGAGGTGTAGTCGTTACAGGTTCTTGTGACGCTCGAGCTCAAATCGGGAGCGCTCATCCGGTAAGGGGGGGGGGGCATTGTGATGCAACGTCTAATAGCTGCCCTCACCCCCACCCCCCTGAACTGGCTTCACTCCCCCTGGCTCACGGGGTCCCGTACTTCGAGAAACCTGTGCGCCAGGGGGAGTGTAGGCAGTCTAGGGGGGTGGGGGTGAGGGCAGCCACTTGATGCCCCCCTTACTGGATGAGCGCCAAAATCTTAGTTTGCGGTTATTTGCCGAACGATTCTCTGAGCGAAGTTATTGAGGTTCTTCTCACTGTGGCTTATCTCAAATTCTGGCTCGTATGAGCACAACCTTGAAAGAACCGCGAAATGCTCCGCGATTCTTCTTATGTGTGATAAGTGGGATGGGGGGGGGGTGTAGAGGTCGCCACAGTGAGATAGCCACAGTGAGAAGAATCCCTCATAACTTCGTTCAGAGAATCGTTCGGCAAAAACCGAAAACGGATTTGAGCTCAGCGTCGCAAGACGCGTGCATCGGACTACACCTCATTACAAACGGCCGGACCGACCAATGACCATTCCTTGTCAGAAACTATAATCAAGAAAGCTTACGATAGGCAAGGGGGATATGATGTTGAAGGTGAAGGGTTGAGATTCGGAGCCTGAGGGCTGCTTTGGGAGAGTAGTGTGGAGTCGTGATCGAGGAGGCAAGGGGGGGGGGCACAAAATCTTGGAAAGCCGTAACGCGAACGCGGTGACGCTTCGCAAAATCTTTGGAAAAGTGTAAACGCGACGGTCGACGCTGTGAACGGGCCCATCAAAACCATGACCCTTTCTGCTTTATCCACATTCAATATATCAATAATACGTACCCTCGTTTCTGGTTTAGCGCCCGGTTTGTCAGGGCTGTAGCGATAGATCTCCAAAGTTTTTATTCTTTTTCCGACAGGTTTCGATGTTGATAGAGCAGCACAACTTGCATACATGAGTGCATGGCTGCGAACCGTGGACAGGGTTCGCGCCAACATTCTGAAAAACGCAACAAGTTTCGATCAGTTGATCGCTGAAGTACTTCGACATGTGTCAAATCCTAGAGATTGCACCTTGATGTAATATGAGCCAAATCTAACCCTCACTCCAAGGCCTCATTTACCTCACTTGAAAGGTAAAAAATGATAACGAAGCACAGTGCACTACTTCAATTTTGAAACCCATATCTTGGGCGGCCACTAAAGAGAAGGAATTCGAGTAGACAGGATAGAATGAATAGATGATGAAAACGGGAACAGCGTTCAGAGTTGGCGATCGTACATGCGATTGAGCGATTAGGCGATGAATGAAGAAGAAAGTGTACGTATCGATTAGGCGATCAGGCTGGTAAGCGATGAGGCAAGTTGGCGTTAAAAGGAAAACACGTGTTGACTTACTGCTCCGCCCACTAAGCGATCGCTAATGGCCTGATCGCCTACTCCACCTATTAGATACGTATCTCCCTTTTGAATAATCGCTCGATCGCCTATTCGCATGCACAATCGCCAACTGTGAACTCTGCCATACTGTCCAGCGCAACTTCTTCGTATGTTGTACTTATACTTCCAAAAAAATACCCCTTGCTTCACAAGCATACTCAGTTAGCTTCTTCATACTCAGTGTTTCGGAGAAAGAGAATAAACAAAAAAGAAAAAGAACTGCTGATTGCGAATAGTGGAGAATAGAAGACTTAAAAGATCAAAAAACTTCCTATAAGCCCAATTTTCCAAGATGTTGAGTATGAACTCCAGCTGAGGGTTTTAAATTCATATTTGTCTAGGGCTGAGATACCCCTCCTGTTAGAATAATTCCAGCTCCTTCTACATATTTATTCTACTATGAAACCATATACTACTACTAATAACCGTACATAACTAACACCGAAACTCTGCAATACACAAACTAAACTATCACACACAATGATCAGCGGCGTTTAACATC